GTAGAAAGATGTTCCACCATGCTGGATGTATCTTCACTTAAAGTCCTGAATAAAGACATTTTCTTTATTGCAAACGACAAGAACAATACCAATCAGAACTTTTTTGTGGTCTTTGGACCCAACAGAACCAGCAGCATGTTATCTGAACTGTTGCACGGACCAACAGGCCGCTACAGTGCTAACGCTAACAGCTAACAGCAGCCCTGCTCTGCCCAGCGGTGGTTTCCGTGGCGACCGAACGCCGACGTGAACTCTGCGGCTGTTTGTTCAGCTCGTCTCGGCCGGGTGCAGATCCAGAACCAGCGCCAGCCGGCGTCTCTGGTCTGTTTACACTGAAGCCACACAATGATGGAGGGCGAGCGACATAGAGATGTGCAGGGAGAGAGAGAGCAGGGGCTCAGAGTAAACACAGGAAGTGAAGGTTTATTTGATCACAGCTAAATATCTCCTCATGCTGAGACGCTCCGCTTGTCTCAACCTGAAGCCTAGACTCCTGTTTCTGCTTCACATCTTTATCACGACCGCTCAGCCGTTTAGCTTTTAGCTTCATGTCCGACTGTCAGACTTGTGGTCGTCTTGACTCTGATTCAGTTTTGACTCGTCTGGGTTTTGGCCCAGTTTGGTTTCAGTGTTTCACTTTTCTTGGTCTAGTTTCCGTCTCCACTGAGGCTTACTGCTGCTCTGAAACAGGCTTGTGGGTGTTCGGCTTCAACTCGGGGATGTTTTGACTCGGACTCGGGCTTTGAGGTCGATAAACGCTAAACTTGGACTCATCAGGGTTTCGACTCAGATTCTGCTCTGACCCAAACTCATGGTTGGTTTGACTCGGTCTTTGTCTGGATGAGGATTTATCTCGGACTCAGAGGTGTTTTGACTCCTTGTAGTCGACTAATAAGTGTTTGGACTCATATTCGACTTTGACTCGTTGATATTTTGACTCTGACCTGTAGCTGCTTCTTCACTGCTCAGATGGTCGACTGGTTTTGGTCGTACAGGTGTTCTGACTCAGGTTTAACTCGTTTTGATCTTGTGGAGGATTTGACTCAGACTAATGAGTGACTCGATGTTTGGACTCTTACTTGTCTCGACTATGCAGATGTTTTAGACTCCAGGGTTTGGACTCAGACTTGTCTTAATCTCTGATTTGCCTTCGTCTTGTAGATGTTTGACTTAGACTCAGCTCTGACTCGTAGATGTTTCGTCTCAGATGTTCTTGTGTTTGCTTTGACTCGTTAGTGTTTAGACTCGGTTTTGTCTTCATTTTTAACTCTTCTCGGTCTTTAGGTTCAGCTGTGACTCGTTGGTGTTTGACTACATTGTTCATTAATTCTTTAACTTTTCTTGGTCTTGTTTTGACTCAGCACCTTCTCTGACTCATTAGTGTTTTGATGAAGTTTCGTCTTGATCTTCCACTTTTCTCGGTCTTCTGTTTGCTCTGATGAAGCTCTGACCTGTCGGTGTTTAGACTTTAATTTTTAAAAACTTTTCTTGGTCTTTGTCCCAGATGTGACTCGTGGGTGTTCTGACTCGTCTCTGGGTCGAACTTGTCTCGGTCTGCTGACTCACAGCTGCTTTGACTTGTAAATACAAAGAAATGCAAAAAAAAAACCCCAGAAAAGCAGGAAGAGGAAGAAGAGACGAAGCAGCAACGCAAACAGAAAACAAAGCTGTGATGTTTGTTATTTGCAACTGATGTGGGTTAAAAAAGTCTACCAAACATCTTCTGTTAACCAACATATGACTTCTGTACATGGAGAGTTTGAAGACGTATGGATTTATCGGTCCGTCGGGGAACAGTCTGGATGAGTTTGCGGCGTCGAGGATGAAGCTGATATCAGATGTCCGAAGCAGAATAAAGCTCTGATGTCCCAGCGGAGCAATCTGGCGTTCAGACAGCAGCTGATGAATAATAAATACAGAAAGCACAGCGATCAATAGAAACGGCCGTGAGTTAAGTACCCTGGTTAACGCCGTCACGGTCGGGCTTTTAATTCCTCGTAAGGTTTTGTTGTTGCTCAGATTCATGCAGAGGTTTCTCATGTGTTTGCGTCCTTTTTGCCTGCAGATGTCCAGCTACAAACGAGCTACGTTGGAGGAGGAGGAGGTGTCGGACGCTCCGGCTGAGGCGGCCTCGTCTCCCGACAGAGTGGAGGTCAGTGAACGCAGCGCAAACAGACGACAAAGTGAGTTTTGATGTGGTAACCGCTCCCCCGGACTGGATCCAGAGTGGAACCTGGGAGGCCTCCGACTGAAAACACAACGGGAGGCCTCTCGGTGGGAGTCCACCTCCAACAAAGGGAGCGGCGGCGGGGGGTCTGGAGCGCCGCCAGTCCGGCTGCTGGCGAACACAAGTTACTTTGGCAACTTCTGAGCGCAACAAAAGTGAGCTGGACGAGGACGGGGAGGCAGCGTTAGCAGATAGTTCAGACAAAAACACCGCCTCGGTTGCGTAAAGCAGCCGAGTGGCCTCTCAGACCGACTTAGTTCCAAAACTAAACTGAAAATGTCACAAAATACGACATTTACACTGTTTGTTTTTCATAAAGTCACAGAAAGAACATTTGGAGGAAGGAGACGACCAAATCATTCTCTCCTTCTCAGTTTGTGTTTGAAACTGGGTCATCATATCCATCAAAGTCCTGGTTCACTGGAGACATGTGGGTTTTTTAAAGGGCTGATACCGATTACTGGGAATCAAACACACCAATGTGTGGAACAGATCTACATTAAAGCATCCAATACTTTATTACTGTTTACTACAACTGAATATGTATATAGAGAGTAAACCAGGGTAAGATTAAACCATTTTATTGGTGGTAGAAAATCAGAAGAAGTGGTTTAAAGGTACGATGATGTAAAATTCTGACAGAACAAAATCCACCTCTCTGTGGTTTTTTTTTAATAAGAATATTCATGTGCAAACTTTTCTTTGTTGTTAACAGGAGAATCATGTCAACGATTATTAGTTAGTTTTAACAGAAACTGACCTAAACTTTTTGTCTAATGTGTGAAAATGTCAGATTAGGACTTTGTTTCTGTTAAACTGTGTTCACTATCATCTAATTCAGTTACATGTAAACTAACTGCTTTCTGTTTAAAAGCCTAACGAGCTGACTTTAGGTTAAACAAATAGTTTAATGCTACATTAGCTTGCTATAGCACAATCCAACTAGCTGACTTTAGGCTAAGCTAAAAATCTAATGCTGTATTAGCTTGTTGTACAGCTAGCTAGCTCGCTAGCTGACCTGAGGTTAATCTCATTATTTTACGCTATATTAACTTGCAATAGCCCTAGCTAGCTAACTAGCTGACTTTAGATTAAGCTAGTAGTTTTGCGCTGTATTAGCTTGATGTAGCACTACCTAAGTAATAATTTAATGCTATATTAACTTGCCATAGCCATAGCAAGCTAGCTAGCTGATGTGAATGATGTATAATATACATATAAATTGATGCTGTTTCTATAAACCGAAGAGCTTCCTGATTCCAGACCACTCAGTGAAAACATGTTTGAACCATTTGCCTCCCGTTAATCCAAAAACGAGCAAAGATGCAGAACTTTAAGCCTTAAAACAATTTAAACGGCTGAGTTCTCCAGAGATGTATCCACTGCACAGCTGTCAGGGACCAGAACTGTTCTTTGTATCAGCCTGTAAACGTGTTTGTTTCTGCTGTAAAGTTGGACTTTATAACATGGAGATTGATGGGGACTCACTCAGCCCCAAGTGGCCATTCGTGGAACTGCAGTTTGTCGTATTTGTTTGTTTTTTTGGGCAAATCAGCAGTTGATGTCCCATCTTTACCCACAGTCTGAAGGTTTCTTCTATTATTTACCTGTAAAGGAGTTTTCTGGAGGTTGTTCCAGAACCTGCTGAGACAAATATGTGATAAAATGTGACTTGACTTGAGCCTGATGAGCTGCAGATGAACGGATGATGGTTAAAGGAGGAGGGATGATGGACGGATGACTCCAGTGTCTCTGTGTCTCAGGTGGGCTTCAGGAAGGGAGGCGTGGACCTTTTTGGCCGGAGAACCCAGCTGGAGGTTCTGCTGTCGGTTCTGCTGCTGGCCGCCCTGCTGGCTCTGCTGGCCTGCCTGGTGGTTCTGGGGCTGGGCTTCAGTTCAGGTACGTCCTCGTCTGCATCCTTCTGTCCTTCGCTTGGTGCTGTTCCTCACCTCCTTCCTCCCTTTCTCCTCTTGTCTCAGCGGTCCTCTCCATCCCGTCCATCTCTGCCTCCTCCTTTCCTTCCTTTGGTCTCCACCTTTTCCTCCTTCACCTCCTCCTTTCCTTTTCTTTCTGACCTCCTCACCTTCTCCCCTCCTATGCTTCCTTTCCAAGTCTCCTTTTTGTGTTGGCCTCTGTGTTTTTTATAAGAACATACATGTACAAACGTTTCTTTACTGTTAACGCAGGAGTCATGTGGAGGATCCTCCATTAGTTTGAATGAAAAATAAGAACTTTTTCTGTGAAAACATCAAAGTCGAGGCTCAGTGACATCAATGATTTTCAGAACGGTAGCTTGGCTGACGTTAGGTTTTTATAAATTATTTTCACTATCATCTAATACAGGAACATAAAAACTACCCGGCACTAAAAAAAGTATATTATCTGTCTAAAATACTAAATAACTAATTTTAGGTTAAGCTAGTAATTTAGTGTTATATTAGCTTTAGCACTAGCTAGCTAGCTGACTTTAGGTTAAGCTAATACTTATATGCTATGTTAGCTTGCTGTAACACTACCTAATTTACTGACAGTAGGTTAAGCTATTAATTTGTTGCTACATTAGCTTGATGTAGCACTAGCTAACTCTCTGACCTTCGGTTAAGCTAATACTTTTATGCTATATTAGCTTGCTGCGGCACTACGTAACTATCAGACTTTAGATTAAGCTAATCATTTGTTGCTATCCTGACCTGTGTGTTGTCTCTCCCATGATGCCTTGCAGACAGTGGGCGTGGCCTGTGCCTGTCGGAGGCGTGCGTCACGGTGGCGAGTCAGATGGTGGAGGCGATGGACCGCGGCGCCGACCCGTGTCACGACTTCTACCAGTTCGCCTGTGGAGGCTGGATGAGGAAGAACCCGCTGCCGGACGGACGGTCGCGCTGGTCCACCTTCAACAGCATCTGGGAGCAGAACCAGGCGCTGCTCAAACACCTGCTGGGTGAGGCTCTGGTTTTAGAGCGGGTCTTTAGAACGGGTTTTACGTCTGGTCTAACTGGTTTCATATCTGGTCTTACTGGTTTTGTGTTTCTCTTCAGAAAACGGGACGTTTAGCGGCAGCAGTGAGGCTGAGAGGAAGACTCAGTCGTATTATCTGTCCTGCCTCAACACTCAGAGAATCGAGGAGCTCGGAGCTCAGCCCCTCATTGACCTCATCGCCAAGGTAACCACACCTACACCCTGTCACCGTGGTAACCGCCTCCCGGTCCTGCTCTCCACAGGATGAACCGATGGGAAAGAAACCAACAACAGGAGTAAACACTGCTGCTTTAAGTTTGTGGTGTTCGAAAGTCTTCAAAACTTTTTAAATCTGTTCTAAAAATATAAAAAAAGTTTTGCCTTTTTCTGCTTTCACTGCATTCTAGATTAGGTTTTAAATGGACAAACACTGGTTTCATTCATCAGTTTAAAATCAATCCAAAACAATTTTTATATTTATGTTTATGTGGTTTTATGGTTTAATTTTACTGATTTTTAGAAACTTCTTCACTTTAAATTCATTTGATTCTGAGTGAAGCGCTGATAAATAAAGTAAATATCTAACGATGCTGCGACTGTTCTGCAGATCGGAGGCTGGAACATGACGGGTCCGTGGGACAAAGACAACTTCATGGAGGTTCTGAAGGTGGTCTCGGGTCCGTACAGAGCTCAGCCGTTCTTCAGCGTCGGAGTCAGCGCCGATCCGAAAAACTCCAACAGCAACGTGATCCAGGTGAACCAGAACCAGAACCAGAACCAGATACGAGATGTTTTCATACAAGAAACATTAAACACTGAGAAAACATGGAGCTTTGTTCTTACATCAAAAAACCAACAATAAATAAAACTGAAACCAATTATTCAAATATTTCATGGTTGCTGCAAACATTTAAACATTTCTGTTTTTCTTTTTAATTATTGAATTAACTTTTGTTTTATTTTAAATTTTGGATAAATATTAATAAATTTCAAAAAATATTTAATATACAAAAATATGTTAAAATTACTATAAATTATTGATAAAATGTCCAATTATATTAATGTCACTTCAGAAAATGTTTAGAAAATTTAAGCTTTTAATTCTTTAAGATATTGTCCTAATCACACACAGTATATCAAACTGTGGTATTAAGGATCAGAATACTTCCTCTACTACTGCATCAGACTGTGGACAGAAATATTTGATCACAGTTTGGTCAAACTTTATTACTAAAGGACAGAAACAAGCTTTTGGTTTGGGGCGTGTCGATGTAGCGCCAATCTGATTGGTTCCCAGTCAGGCCTCTGATGGTCTCTGGTTTCCTCTTTAGGTGGACCAATCAGGGCTTTTCCTGCCGTCCAGAGATTATTACCTCAACAAGACAGCCAATGAGAAGGTGAGACGACCCGAGTGTTGCTGTCAAAGTTCAGATTATTTGGATTTATGCAACAGAATTACATTATATATTATTAAACCTGCCGCCTGGTGCTGCCTCAGGTGCTGGTTGCCTACCTGGACTACATGGTGGAGCTGGGGATGCTGCTGGGGGGCGAGAGGAGCTCCACACAGCTTCAGATGCAGCAGATTCTGGAGTTTGAGACGGCGCTGGCCAACATCACCGTCCCCCAGGACCAACGGAGGGACGAGGAGAAGATCTACCACAAGGTGACCATCGCTGAGCTGCAGGTGAGTCCAGCACGGTTCTGGTTGGTGACGTGTGAAAAGTTAAATGTGAGAGAGAAGTCTGAGCTCTGCACAACCGACGAAATGGTGGAAATGTCAGATTGTTGATTTGGAGAAATAATATTGTGTTTTGTTGTATCATAACATCTTAGATTTTGTCGTATTGTCTCATCTCGTGTCGTGTCCTAGACGTGTTGTGTCATAACATCTCATATCGTTGTGTATC